TCAGGTTGATTAAAGATGGTATGTAGTTTGTGCTCCAACTTTACAGCTTAAATAATTGCCTCTAGTACTAAAAACAGTTCTTTTACAATGTGTTAAGTGATATATTGAAATTGGTTACAAAATTTTATAAAAATTTTAGATAACTTCCGGAAATGGCGTTGGTTTTTTATGCGTATTTGCACACATGCAAATGCAAGCCAGGCTGGAATGTACCAGGCTTATCAGTGCGATCATGCGTTTTTGCACTAAATTCGTAGATCGCTGATAGCAGGGATGATCCCTGCGCTGTAGCCTAACGCTTGGGTTAATATTGGCCGCGCCTGGTACCTTCCGGCATGCAGGAGAAAGGGCGTCGATTGGGATGAAGCTGTTGCATTATAGGGCCGCATGAACCTTCAGACACATGATTACCAGTTTTTTGCATGAAGTTCGGTGATTTTTTCGGTAAATGCTCGCTTTTTGAAAAAACGTAAATTTCCAGATCACAAAAAATTGGAAATGTTGCTAAAGCAGTCGTTCGTCAAAAAATCCAAGTATGCAAATGAACTAAATGTTCACTTACATATTTGGTTGAGGGCAGTTGTTCGCTGCAAAACGCACTCGTTTCTGATTTTTTAGTAAAGTTTAGTATTCCTCGTAACTACCAGCAGGGAATTTTACTTCCAAGCAGAATTAAAACCGCACTTGAAAGTAGAATATACTTGAAACTAGAATATACTCAGCCTCGCATCCTATTCAGTAAGCGAAAGCCACTTCGCTACAAATATCTTCGAAAAACTCTAAGTTGTGGCGCAAGTGTAATTAGGAACTCAATTTAGGTCTACAATTTCCCATATAGATGATAAATATGCTGACAAAATTTCAGCCACTGTTTTCCGGCAAGTTTTCGAGTTAGCACAGTACCAAGTTGCAAAATTTGACGTGATAGTACGCGCTGGACAGGCGTACGCGACAGCTGAGTTTGAAACCTTTAGCTCGCACATGCACAGAGAATAACCTTGCGAAGTTTCAGCTTTGTACCTTGCCTGGTTCGCAAAATCGTTTCTCACCAAAGAAGTTTGCATATTTTTTGGGGATCCGTACACGGGGTCTAAGCGAGTATGAGGGAAAATTTCAAAGCGGGAGGATGACACACGGGGTAGGAATATATAGCCAAAATTGCGGCCTCCCAGTTTTCCCGGTTGCTGAGATGAAAGTGGGTGACAAAGTTCACTTGCTTCCGAACATACACACACACAAACAGCCTCTCGACAATATGCGTTTTGCTGGCTGTAGCAAAAACACATAAAAACGCATACGGGCAAGAGGCTGTATGTGTGTTTGTTTGTATGTCTGTGTGTGTGTGCTTGTGTGCTAGCATTATTTGTCACCCACCTTCAACTCGAGAACTAGAAAAGCTGGAAAGTTGGAATTTGTGCGTACACCATGTGCGACCCTCGTCTTTTAATACCATTTTCCGCGTACGTCTGACTGCCGCGTATGGATGCTTTAAGGAAATACGCAGATTTTTCGGCGGGAAAGCGATCTTGAGAACCAGAAAGAATAGAGGGCTGAAATCTTGCAGGGATATTCTCTATGCATGATTTCAAACTCAGCCCTTAGGTGCTCATGGTTCTCACTTACTAGCACGTGAAAGTTTTGCCGGGCTAATTGCTAACTCGGTAACTGAAAAGCTGGAAGAATTTTAAGAGTATATTTCTCATCCATGTACAACTGAACGGTTTCAAATTTGGCCACCCGGCACCCGTGGTACTTACGCACGAGCATGTGAAAGTTTTGGCAGGAAAATTATTAATTCGGGAACGGAAAAAGTTAGAAAGCTGAAGTTTTAGACGAATGCTCCCTGCCCAACTACAACTTAAATATTTCAAATTCAGCCTCTAAATATGTGTGTTCTTACGTATGGGCGCTTAAAGTTTTGACGGGAAAGTTACTCACTGAACAGCTACGACGTTTTCAAAGAACGTTAGATGGAAATTGCTCATTTCCTTTATGCAAAATTTACGATGATTTACGCTAGTGAGCACAAAGGTAGGTGTCAAGCAGCAATCATTTATGCAGTTAGCGACCTCAATACTTCAAGTCTGATGCAAAAACGCATAATCGCAGCGGCAAGCCTGGTGCATTCTGTTAATGATAAATATGTGGAGAAGCGGAGCTGCGCACTGGACATGCTCAAAAAGCAAAATTCCCAATTGTTATTGCCTAACAGTGAAGAAACAACGATTCGAGCGCCAACTACTGACAGCATAAATATCTTTTTGAGTTATACAGTCGTCTAAGTAATGGAATAGTTCTTCTTCCAATAAAAACAGACTAGATGAAGTTAAGTAATTTGTGAGGTGAGACGAATCGAAAAATAACTGCAAACACTGAATCAGTATTTTCGTCAGC